CTCTCTCTCAGCCCAACTCACCTCACAGGGTTGTTGTTGTGGGGAAAATGGGAGGAGGAAGGAATATTAGGTATGTTCACCGCCTTGAGTTATTTATAAAAATAATAAAAGTGGGATAAAAAAATGAAATAAAAAATGAATGAAAACACTTATTTCAAGAAAAATTGCTGTTACAATATGATACTTTTGAAATCATTCAGCTAGGTGCTTTGCGTTGAACAGGTTTCTCTATCATAGTCAGATTATAATACTAAAATTTTCTTTTCATACTGGACATTATCTGATCTAAAATAAACAGGTAAAAATGCAGAAAAAGTTTACAAGAATATGAACCATTTTTTACTTACCGATCCAATTTGCTCCCCAAAGACCTCCGTATTTTTAGTTCTTCTGAATACAATCCTTTATATTTTTCCAATTCTGTATGTGTAGATTCTTTTTGTAATATGTTATCTTGCTGGCTGTTTTTAAGTTTGCCCAACTCTGATTCTAAATCTCTAATTCTGTTCTCCAATTGATTTCTCAAAGAAGCATTACTAGTAGCTCTTATCTGTTCCAAAGTTTCTTGAGAAGCAGCCTGCGTCTAAGACACAAAATGTATTAATTTAGGAAAAAAGTCCTTACTGTATACCCAAATGTTAATTAGAGCATTAACTGAGAATATATTGCCTAAGTGTAGCAACCTGATGAAATAAAAATGGTAAGTAAGTTTGTCAATGAAGTAACATATAATTAATATTTGTTAATTATTTATAATTTAGTTACCTGCAAAAAGAAGTTGACTTCCTCCAGTTTTTGTCTTATTTCTTGCCTAGCTCGCTCTTCAATCTCTCTCTTATACTGTTCCACTTGGTTGAGGTCTATTAAATTACCCTGTACTTGGCGTTTGAGGTTAGCTACTTCTTCTTCTAGCTGCAATTTGCTTCTTTCTAGTTTTTCATGATTCTTATGGAGTATCTTCATGGAAGATAATTGTTCATGTAGTTCACAATTTGTAGATTCCAGCTGGGTGCATCTTGTTGACTCAACCTCCAAGTGGCGAGAAAGTTCATCGACCTAAACAAGTGAGTAATACTTAAAGCAAAAGAATAACAGCTCTTCAAAATAAAGCCAAGTAATAGTTATGTATCTATAGAAGAGAATATATGTAGCTCAGGGTTGCTCCATTTATATACAGTAGCTTGCCCTGTATAAACAGGGAGAAAACCCCACACTCACTAGCAATTACTCACACTGATGATGTTACCTAATTGGGTAATGAAACATCTGCAAGCAAACAACCAAGCTCAGAGAGCATCAAGGACTCCACAGTTATGTATCTGCTCAGGGATAGAAACAATTCTATCAAATTTGGTGACAAATTTAGAGAGGAAAGGCTAAGGTGATCAAAAACATTTTAACTAAAAGTTTAAGTTCAAATGGTTAAAACTATCTAAAAAAGATTCCAAACAGAAGACCAAATACTATTATAAAAGTGTCTCTTACTCCTCTGTGAGAAAACAGCAGGTGGAGGTTTACCTAGAATGCCTAAGGGAATCCATATGTACATATATACATCACCTAAAATCAAATATGTGCCTTCCATATTTTTTCTCATATCAAAATATTCCTTTAAAAATATATGTGATCATCCCCCCACCATACATAGGTACTGGTTTTCTTGAGAAATAAAGAATATTTCCCTTTGAAACAACCTTATTATTTTTTTTTTATTATTATATTTTTTTGAGAGAGAGCCAGTTTGGTGTAATGGTTAAGACATCAGTCTAGAAACTGGAGACTGTGAGTTCTAGTCCCACCTTAGTCACTAAAGCCAGCTGGGTGATCTTGGGCCAATCCCTCTCTCCCAGCCCCAGGTAGGAGGCCATGGAAACCCACTTCTGAAAAAGCTTGCCAAAAAAACGGCAAGGACTTGTACAGGCAGTCGCCAGGAATCAACACTGACTCGAAGACACAAAACAAACAAATGTTTGCAAGCCACCTCAATCTCAGATCTCTGGATAGTTTGTAGAATAAATTAAAACATAATATAAAACAGCCAACAGCAAACAAAATGAAACTCTAAAAAAGGCAGCCCAAATCACCACTACCCACCTAAATAAAAGGTTTTGATTCATTATAGAAGGCCAACAATGAAGGGGATTACTGTAGATTCAGAGCAAGTTGTTTCAAAACCTAGGGGCTACCATGGAAAAAAACTGCCTCCAGGTCCAAGCGTAAGCTCACCTCATAGAAGAAGCATTTTAAAGGGGAGAGTCTCTCAAATAATCCAGTTTCATACCATACAGTTTTTTAAAGATGATGACCAGTACTCTGAATTGGGGTTGGAGCTTATTATTCACTAGTGCAATGACCATATAGGTGTTATCATGTAAGAGTGGGATTTAAATGAATTATAGTAACAGCTGGAACATACCTTTTTTCTTAGTTTTCCAATTTCAATGTCAATTTCTGAATATTTATTTTTTATTTCTCCATGTAAGCTGACTTGTGATGAACTCTCTCCACTCTCATAATCTTTTAACTTCTTTTTAGCTGTTTTTAGAAGTTTTTTGATTCTGTAAAGAAAAACAAATTTTACTGCAATTGTTTAAAATATTCTATAGATGCTATTTTTACTTCACCAAGAAAGAATTCTACCTGGATGAGCAACTGCAAAAAATGTGAAAAGGAATGACTTGTTATCTTGTTCATTACTCTACAAATAGCCATTTCAAAATGAACAAAAATTCAGTTAGACTTAGTTTTTCAGATGCTGTACATGCACAAATTAATTATTAATTCACGTAATAGTCTGTACTGCTAAAGCAAACAATGTTCTCTTCATGTTTCTATCAACTGTGGTGTTGCATTTTTTCATCCATTTTGCAGCAAAACTGCCATTACTGCCATTGTAATTCATTTTGGGATTATAATTCTATTAATGTATAATTCAATATATATTCATTTTTTTTAACACCATGCATAAACCTATTATAAGTCAGGGTGTAGTGCATAACATGCAGGAAAAACAAGCAGCAGAAACAAGGATATTAGCTTTTAGATGTAAGACTATTTCCATTATAATAATGTTAAATATATTTAAAATAAAAATTCTATAAACAGAAAGCATTTACTGTCTTCACAACAATGAAAATCTTACCCATGATATTCTTTTTGTAATTCACTGTTCCTTTTCATTTCTTGATCTAGTCGTATTTCCATTGATCGTTTCAATTCTAGTACCTTCTTTACTTTTTTCTTTTCATTCTCAAACTGTAAAAGAATAAGAATGTGATTTCCAGATTTGACAGCATTTTAAACAATGTATGTTTTGATGCACAGGTAAATCTCTTGGAGAGGGTATTTCACCTTTACTTTGAGCTTTGTGAAAAAAGGTGACTATACTGAAATATATTTTATTCCTTAATATTTCGATTTGTTCCCATAATTTTCAAAATTACAGCCTTATTACCACTGAGCTGCTTTCTCCAGATTCTAAATCAGCATCCTTGTGCAATAGTGTAGCAGCAATCTCTAAGAAAGTTCCAGTGTTGGTAAAACTGTGGAAAATATCTGCTCTGCTAAGAGGCTGAAGTTTATATTATGGAAGAGAATAAGAACAATATTTTGGGTTTTCACGAGCTCCATTTTCAATTATGTTTTCTGAACTACACTGAGCTGTGAAGGCTAACAGCATGCCAAAAAGGATTAAATCCCTTTCATTGCCCATCAGGGACCTTTGAGATCAAATTACTAATGGTTGTCGCAATCATAGTATTTTAGGAGACAGAGAAATCTTGGGAATTGAGACAGATCTTAGTTTTACTTTTGCTTCATCCAGTTCTTGCCCTAAGTAGTTTTGTGACTATGCATTAGCTAAATGATGTAGTCAGGTGACTGAAATATTTCATGTCAAAGGCACTTAGACATCTGTCTGAACTCCAGCAATTTCTTTTACACTTATTTATCAAATTCAGAAAGAAGTATAATTTCTTATCCCTTTTGTACAAAAATGTGTATTTCATCACATTCTGTCCCCAAATTGCAAAATTCAGGCATAAAGACCTTTATTTATTTTCCTTTTTTGATTTAAAGGCAAGAGTTTAAAGGAGTCTAGCTCAAAAGCCCCTGCATTAACATTTCCATGTGTTTTTGTCTTTGGGAGAAGTATCTTTGTCTTTGGGAGAAGTCACAAAGGATAAGGAGTGTAGGAATCTTTTCTCAACTTTTTTTGATTCTTGCAGAAGTAACAATAGCTTTTGTATTGTATTTATCTGAACCTTATTAAATATTGTTTTATTTATTTATGATCTTTCAAAATTCCCAGTAGAAACACATTATTTAAATAGCTAGCAGTATTTAAAAATACTGCTTCCTAAAAGCAATATGAACCTATCAACTAGGCAGGGTAAGCAGATAATATGAAAACATAAAAAAGAAACATTATCTGCCACATAAAAATATAAATCCCTGCCAACAGGTAAAATCAATGAGAGAAAAGACTAGCCACACTTTTAGGGCATGATGTCCCACAATCTGAGTCAGCTATGACTGCTTCTCTCATTCAATTCAAGAATGCTTCCATATTAAGTGAGATACAGATGAACTTCTAGTTCTGATCTTATGCATACAGGGTGATGCAGAGAGAAGTCCTTAATGAATTCTGGATCCAAGATATTTGGGGCTTGGTTAAATTTATACTCTGTCTTTCCTCAGGAGCTCATATAATACTTCCTTTCTCCAATTTTCCCTACCACAACAATCCTGTGAGATAGGTTGGGTGACTGGACCAAAGTCTCCCAATGAGTTTCCCATGGCTGAAGGTGGACTTAAACCTCACTCTTCCCAGTCCTAGCCCAATACCTCAAGCATAACACCAATTGTTTCTTCATAATTTCCAACACAGTGAATGCTGATACTGAACCTACCTGAGATATTAATTCTGTCTTTTCCCTATCAAGCTCAGAAAGGCGAACCCCAAGTTTTGATTTTAATTTCAGTTCTTCTTCCCACATATTGTGAGCATCTTGTGCAGTTACAGAAAGCATATTTTCCTTCTGGACCTGTGGAACAATTGAATTGTTTCTAAATAAACATTATTATAGAAGAACCCTTGAAATAGCCAAGACACCATTATGTAGAAACAGAATCCAATTCAGATAACAAAGAGCGGACTTCTGGGGAAGAAATGGTGGCCTGAAGATGGCTCCACAAAAAGCGGGGCTGATGACTGCGGCAGAATGAAGAGCCAGCAAGTAGACCAGCTCTTCGTAATTCCTCTACAGACAAGTGCTACAGATAGTTGCTCCTTGTGAGGACACTGCAAGACAGTCTTTGGCAGATTTAGAGCACTGGGAGATGAGGGAATTGTGATGGAATGTATCTAAGAAGGCGGAGGTGATGAGATGGACAGCAGTAGCACAGCAGATTCTCAGGAAGGAGGGAGCACATTACAGGAAGGGGGGGCAAGACAAGAGACAACACAATCTGGAGAAGGAGCGTGGGAAGAGGAAGAGATTTAGGATAGCCATTCCTTAGAATCTCCCAGGGTATATATACTAGGTTATAGTAGTACAGTCTGGCAAGATTCTGTCTATATGGTGTAAGCAATAAAAGAACTGAACTTGGCTGGACTGTTTCCTTGTTGTTCTTGGGCTGGGCCTGACATCAATCTTGCCAGACTAAATCTGTACTACTCTAACCTAGCGGATATACCCTGGGAGATTCTAGGGAGTGGCTATCCTAAATCTCTTCCTCTTCCCATGCTCCTGCTCTGGACTATCTGTCTCTTGTCTCACCCCCTTCCTGGAATGTGCTCCCTCCTTCCTGAGAACCTGCTGCGCTATTGCCATCCATCACAGGAATAGCCATCTTGCTCAAACCGTGGTCAGCACCTTTGAAAGGACACTGGGCTTGCATACTTCCTTTTCAATCACTTTCAGAAATTGCTTGTTAACTGCTTTTCAGCTATTAGAAACCTTTGGATTAACAAGTTTTACAGCACCAGCTGAGTTTCCTTCATCCTTAGTGAAAGAAGTTTTAAATACAAGTTTAAGGACTTAGAATTTTTTTTTTCTGGAATAAACAGCAACTTTGATTTTAGAAAGTTACAAATGGACTAAGGGTCCAGATACATTTGAACTAATATTTTGGAATTAATTATAAGAATCCTTCCTATGGGAAAATGTTTTTGTTTTGAATTCTTTTTCTTTTTTTAAATAGTAAGATAAAATTTTAAACATTGGACACCGGGGGAGGTAGAAGGCACTAAATATTACAATTAAAGGAGAACACTTAAATTTGACTTACAAATGCAGAATGAAGCAAAATATTTTAACATTGGATATACTGAAGGATATTTTTGAACAATGGACCCAGAAGTTAGTTTTATTTATTTATTTTTAAATTTATATGCTGTCCATCTTCTCCAGAGGGTGACTCTGGGTGGCTAAGAGTGTCTGGCTTTATAGACAGACTGTGTTTCAAAGGTATTGTGGAAGAGGAACAAGTTTTACCTGACAAGACTGAGACTGATCTGAAAGTGGATTTAAAAATGATAAGCTACAAGAATAATATGGAAAAAGATGCTATACTGGATCTACAAAAGAAACTGGCTGATGCCTTAATAATTAAAAGGCATATACAAATAACAAACCAAGAGAGTACTCACCCTAATGTCACTTCCCTGGTGGCTTTAACCAACCAGGAGGGACAAGGATCTAAAATACAGGTAGCCGCACTAACAGCCCCGAGGACCCTGCCCACTTCCTCAACAGGATGAAACCGTTCCCAGATAACTGGGTAAGTCCACTCCCCGGGCATCTCCACTGGACCTGCATCATGCTTGGCCTCCAATTGGGAAAGGATCTGACCATTTTATCCATCAGGTGTTCAGCAAATTCCTCTGCACGGCCCTGTAGGTGGTCCCCTGAGCCCTCCCTACCCAGGAGGGATCAGGTGATTCTAAACAGGGCCGCCAGGCGATATTCTGCGAATGCAGTATGAGTGGAGAAATAATGATGTTTCGCCACCCTTACCGCCATGAGGTAGGCCTTAATAGTGGCTTTAACTCGTGTTTGGCCAGACTCATCCTTAGTTTTCTGCCAGCAGTGCTCTAGATGTCTCTTGGCCCTTTTCATTAACTCCTCCATAAATCATGGGAAGTGCCAGGGGTGATGGGCCAAGAGAGGCCGCACAGGGGCGATCCTGTCCAAGGCCCTGGCTGCCTCCTTATTCTAGGCTGTGGCCAGGGCCTTCACTGGACTATATAGCAAGGTCTCAGGAACAACCCCCAGCTCCCTTTGGAATTCTTGCAGGTCCATCAGTCACTGGGGCGGACCTTGCGGAGGGGGGCAGTACAGGAGAATCTCAAGGCCACCAGGAAATGGTCTGACCATGACAAAGGAGATAATACCAAAGCAGCAATACAGCAGCTGCCACTGCTCTGACAGGAAAACCATGTCTGGAGTGTGACAACTATCCTGAGTCGGGCCATGGATGACCTGGGATAGACCCATGGCCACCATGGTAGCCATGAACGCCCGAGCTGCCTCCAAGGCCAACCCCAGTGATGGCAGATTAAAGTCCCCCAAGACCATAAGTCTGGTGAACTCCACTCCCAACCCCGAGATGGCCTCCAGCAGCTCAGGCAGGGAGGTTGCTATGTGGCAGGGAGGCTGGTACAGAAG